TACTATCTGCAAATTCCACCAGAGCTACTGGGTTTTTTGTTTGTTTGTTTGATTGATTGATTGGTTGTTTGGTTGGTTGGTTGGTTGGTTGATTAGCGTGTTTTTTTTTTTTCGGAGGGGGGGTTGTTATTGAGAGAGGGCCCATGTAGCTCAGGCTAGCCTCAAACTCACTACATAGCAAGGATGACCTTGAATTGATCCTTCTGCCTCCATCTCTTGAGTGCTGGGATTATAGGCTTGTGCCCTGATACCTGGCTCTACTTTCTAAAAATATCCAGCATCTGACTGCATTGCAGTCTCTGCTTCTCTCTTTGATCCATGCTAATGTCATCTTAACTGTATCATAACAATAATCTTCCAGCTTGTTTGCCTGCTACACACTGACACCTTAAATTCCCATGTAGCAGCCGCGGTGATTCTTTTAAGGCACAAGCCAACCACAGCTCTTCAAGTATGAACCCTGGATGAACCACATGATGCTATGACTTTCCCCCTTGTCTAACTATACTGACCTCTGGCTGATTTCACCCCTTTATTTCTATTAATCTATGGGTGTTTGGCCTGCATGTATATCTGACCACCACAGGCATGCAATGCCTGAAGAGGCCAGAAGAGGGCATCAGATTCTCTAGTCCTGGAGCTACCATGCGTCCACTGAGCCATCTCTCCAGCCCTTATTAGTTCTTATTGTTCAAATTGAGGCTGACTGTGCCTGGTACCCCCTTCCATTCAATGTACATACAGCATATCCTTTTAATTTGCTTAATTCCAAATGCCATCCCTATGGAGGATTTTCTAGCTGTCCTATCCAAAAGAATATTTGGGGCTGGTGAACATAGCTCAATTGGTAGAGGGCTCATCTAGCATGCAGGAAGCCCAGAGTTCAATCCTCAGTACTGCATAAGACCAGATATGGTGGCACAAACATGTGAGACAAGGAGTTCAAGGTCATCCTTGACTATGGAAAGTCCAAGGCTTCCTGGAGTACACGAGAATATATCTCAGTTCCCAACCCCAAATGAATTTGCTTCTCTGACTCTATGCTATAAAAGCACCAATTTAATCCTTGATTTTCTATCTCTCTGTGTAGAAAATTAGGGGAGTTTTTTTTTTTTTTTTTTTCTTCACTGCTGTATCATGAAGGATTTGGCAAGGCCTAGCACATACTGGCATTAAAATATCATTATGAGACTATACATGTGAATGAATGAGTTTTTATTATTTTTCACTGATTGACAAACCCCTTGTTACATGAGTTTTTAAAGCTGGTATCTAGAGACTGGAGAGGTGGCTCAGCAGTTAAGAGCATTGGCTGCTCTTCCAGAGGACCCGGGTTCAATTCCCAGCACCCATATGGCAGCTTACAACCGTCTGTAGTTCCAGTTCCAGGGGATCTGACACCCTCATACAGGCATGCAGGCAGGCAAAAAAATCAAAACACCAATGCACATAAAATTAAAGTAATAAACAACTGGAATCTATACAATGATAGTCCAAAAGTCTGGTGAAGCTGAAAACATTCTGCACAGAAACCACTGTTGCTCCAAGACCTGGAGATGGGGCTTGAAGCACCCAGCACGAGTGTTAGCTGTACTATATGGTGTTGGCTGTAAGGACCAAACACTAATTGGTCCAGGAGCAGAGGCGAAGGACAGCAGATGGAAGAAATGAGCACAAAGTTGGTATGCAGATGGAAGGCTGTGAGGTTAATATATTACCCATGCACATTTAGTTTTAAATTAGTCTGCTTCCTTCCTATCTGTGTGTGGGCCTCCTCCCACCTTTTACTCACAGCCATGTAGCCCAAGCTGGCCGGAGCTTTCTACATAATAGTCCCACCTATCCTTAAATTCGCCATTCTTCTGCAATAGCTTAACAAATCCTGGGGGGTTGCAGGTGTGTACACCCAGGCTTGGGGCCCAGTAAATAGTTATTGATACAAGGAAACTGTACACAGTCACGGAGCACGGTGTGACATTTTAGTGCATGTATACAACAGGGAGTGAGGTCAAACCGAAGTCATTGGCACATCTACCATCCCAGACATTACTTATGTCTTTGTGTTGACAACATTCCAAGTCTTTTCCACTAGCTATTTTGTAACACACAATTATTGATCTGGGTGTGTGGTTCAGTGGTAGAACACTTTCCTAGCACACAGGAAGACCTAGGCAGAAAAACAAATGAAATAAAACATGGCAGTTTGTGTTTGGGATGAACCCCAGTCTTCACAAATGTTAGATGTGCACTCTCTCACTGAGTGATATTTATAGTCCAGAACTCACTGACTTCATATGTGTGCTGGCTCTATCATCATCATCATCATCATCATCATCATCATCATCATCATTATTATCATCATCATTATTATTATTAATTACATGTAGCGTGTAGTGTGCACGCACGTGTGTGTGTGTGTGTGTGTGTGTGTGTGTGTGTGTGCGCGTGTGTGTGCTGTATTGCATAGACAGTAACCAGAGGATAACCCAGGGATCAAACTTGGAACCTCAGGCTTGGCTGCAAGCACCTTCACCCACTGAGCCACCTCACCAGCACAGTTTCCTTGCTATTAAATGCCTTAGTTGATAGCAACTTTCTTCTCTGCTGAGGCAGATGTCCATAGACTGAGTGCTCTGATTCTTTACCAACCCCAGAGGGCCCCTTCTGGATTAGCAAAGAAGTTGAAAGAAAGCCTACTCCCATAAGCCCCTTTGGAAACAATCTGGAAAACAGTGGTTTGGTTTCTCGCTGTGGGTATTTTACTTGCACAAGGTCACATCTGAAACACAGAATTTGACATTAGAACAACCTGAATCTGGTCCAATTTTTGCCACTGGTTTAAATGTCACACGCTTATCCCCACAGGTACTATATCAGGGCATCTCAAACGTTGCCACTTGTGACCCCTTCTCTTTGCTTGAAAAATTTTTGTGACCCCCCATACATAAATTTTTGTATGTAGGTATACAAAACAGGTATGCAGGGCAAGCATTTACTGATAAGAAACCATAGATTCACTTAAAAACAATTCTTAAATTAAAGATGAAAGCAAACGAATACTAATGAGATGGATGTAGTTGTTTCTTTTTTACATAAAGAAGTAACTTTTGGACTGGGGGTGGGGCTGTGGTAGAGTCCTTACCACGCATAAAGGCCTGGGTTCGATCCCCAGGACACACACACACACACACACACCCACACACACACACACACACACACACACACACACACTGGGGGGGATGTAAATCATGACTGAGTATCTGATAATGCAAGACACACGGCATCTTCAACATTTTCCACAGCTCATGCATTTTTAATGTTTTAAATCTTCAGTGATGAAAATGCCTCTTCTCAAAAATAATAATAAAAATAAAAGCAGAAAGTGGTAGAAGTATATTTAGGTCAATTTGAGAAGCTGTTAGAAGTTCTGTCCTAGGTCAGGCAGTAGTGGTGAATGCCTTTAATCCCAGCACATGGGAGTCAGAGACAGGCAGAGCTAAGAGTCCAAGACAGCCAGGGCTGCACAGAGAAACCCTGTCTCTAAAACAAAACAAAAAAGAAATTCTGTCCCACATCGCAAGCCAAATTCACATACGAATTTTGTTTTAGTGAAACTGAATTAGGCATCTCAAATGTAAACACAGGCATGCAGTGCCCACTGAGGACAGAACACGGTGTCGGATTCCCTGGAAATGGAGTTACAGATGATTGTGAGCTACCACGTGGGTGCTGGGAATCGAACTCAGGTCCTCTGTAAGAGCAGCCAGTGTTCCTAACACTGGGCCATCTCTCCAGATCTAGAAACTTTCTCAGTTGCCAATATTTTGTAACCCCAAAACTCGGTTACAGGAGCCCATGTGGGGTTACTACCCACAGTTTAAGACTCGACAATTGTAGGAGAAACTGCCGGCCAGCCTACCCAAGGTGCAGTCGCCCTGCCCAGGGTCCCAGACCAGACGACACCAGGCACTTCCTCCCTGAGCCAAGCCTGCTCTCTGCCCAGAGACTGCTGACCGAAGAAACACCTGACCCGAGACACCAATGACGAAAGGACAATGGCAGTTGAGTCAGCCAGTCAGCCAAAGGGACCTTGAGAGGGGGTATAAAGGTAGGCCTAACTTCCTTAATAGCATGCTCTGCTACTCACTGACTCCCAGTTCCTGAGTTGTTGGAGCTGTGTCTTCTCACGCCCTCCCTCAAAGGGTGTCGGAGCACAGTCACCAACAATAGACAATCTCTACATTTTATAACTTTACAACTCTGCTTTCCCAAATTGAAATAGTGCCAGGCCCTTGGCAATGAGGACTAAAGTAAATAAAAAAAATCAAATCAGGAATGGTAGTGAATGCCACTGATCCCAGCTCTGGGGAGACTTAGGCAGGAGGATTGGCATAAGTCTGAGGCCAGCTTAGGATGACATAGTGAGTTTGAGGCCAGTCCAGGCTACATGGTGAGACCCCATCAAACAAAAACAGGAAGGAAGGAAGGAAGGCAAGGAGAGAGGGATGGAGGGGGAAATGCTCGTGAGCACTCCCTGGGCTGTGAAGCAGAGGTCTGCCTGTGCCACTTTCAGCGGGAGCACCCGGGCCTGCATGGCACGGTCCCCAGCTCAGCCTCTCTCCACCCCTGCCTGGGTCTTAAGGGTACATCTTTCCTAGGTAGGTTTTCTCTGGGACAGTTGCTCCAGATAAAAGAATCCAGGAGGTGACTAACACTAGTTGGATTTTGTAGTTGTTATTGTTTTTGTTTTTGGCGGTGCGGGGAGGGGAGGGGTGAACCCATGAATCATGCCAGAGGACTCCCACTGGGCCACACACACACCCGCCCCCCAACCGGATGCTGGAGCTTGTGGCAAAACAGTTTTGCAAGAGCTCTGAAGTAGAACTGATTCCAGCTACGGCTCAGGTGCCGTGGCATCCAGACCGTCCAAGGCCGGGTTGTGGGAGCGGGGGTGGCCGGAGCCGCCCCGCAGTGGGTCGTGTCGAGCCTCGGTGGTTTACCTGGGTTCCTGACGCCCTGCAGGCCAAGCTCCCGACTGATTCCACTTTCCTCCCAGGGGCGGCCACAGGTGTCGCCTGCCCGCGCCGCTAGCTGTCCGCTGGAGGGATGGCTCCTGGGCGCAGCTGGGGACAACGACGCGCTTCCTGCCCGGGAAG